TCTAATCACAGCACTTTGGGAGGCTGAGGTGGGTGGATCACTGAGGTCGGGAGTTCAAGACCAGGCTGACCAACATGGAGAAACCCCGTCTCTACTGAAAATACAAAATTAGCCGGACGTGGTGGAACATGCCTGTAATCCCAGTTACTCTGGAGGCTGAGGAGAATTGCTTGAACCCGGAAGGCAGAGGTTGCAGTGAGCGAAGATCACGCCATTGCACTCCAGCCTGGGCAACAAGAATGAGACTCCATCTCAAACAAAAAAAAAATGTAGTTAACCCTCAATGTGGGATCATGAAGTATGTCCAAGGAAAGGGACAGGTAAACAATCAGTCATTGTAGAGAAAAAAACATAATGTAAATAATCGTAGCACGTGGCATCCCTCCCCGTATCTGGGGTCATCGTCAGGGGCAGCTTATGTATGTATCTGGGGAGAAGTGTGATTTGACTTGACATTTTGGCTAGGTGACTGTGAAGGCAAAAAGGAAAATCCCAAAAATCACTTTATCAAATGGCAAATGGACCTTTGGTATTTGACCCAGGAATCTCTACCCAGAGCTAAATCAGTCGGACGTGAACCCACATTTTTATATATTTAGAAAACAAATGGACAAATTTCAAATAAACCGAGGAGCCTCATCTCTTCGACCATCTAAAGCAGCAATGCAGTTTTGTTTTTTATGGTCTTGTGAATAACATGTTGTTTGCAAGTTGCTATTTCATGTGAAACCAGAACAGCAGTTTATACAGTTCCCCCAGAAACCGAGGTAATACAGTATGACAGTTTCAGTCTCAGGTTCTATTTGTGTGTGCATGCACGCTCAAGGGCAAGGGCACACGTGAGCACAACTGCAAATTGACAATGGTGACATATATTTATATGAATGCCTGGAATGTCTTAGTAGAAATGTACCTCACACAGATAGTGGAGGTTCCCCGTGGGCAAAGCAAGGGAGAAACCCAAACCAGGGCTGAGGGGCAAAGACACTTTGGAGAACTTTATCTGCAATGTTAATTCTTTACAAGATAAATTTATTACTTCTAGATTTTTAAAATTTATTTAAAATCATAAAAAAAAGTAGCACTAAGAAGGTTTTACCCAGTATTTTTTGAGAAGCCGAAGATGGTTATTAACTAGTGGAAGGGAAGGCACTCAGGGTGCAAACCATGGAGAAATACGTGCTTGCTGGATTCCTAAATGTGATGAGTGCTTCCGATAAGTCAGAATCTTTTCAATTTGCCGTGACTTCTGTCTTTAAAAGTGTTCAGAGTCTTTCTTCCTTTTGCTCTTCTAGGTGTGTTCTAGGTGTTTCCTCAAACAGCTGTTCTGTGATTAGAAGAATGGTTTCGTCATTGTCAATGCTGTTTGCCTCCTGCTGATATGAGTTTAAAATGGTAGCTATAACTGTCATTATTAATTGGGTGGTGGTGCTCGAAACTGTAATTCAAAGGATTGAAGAATGAGCAGAGAATGGGGAACAGTATGGAAGAAATGGTGAAATTGATGGGATCACGAGGCTTCCTGAAAGAGCTCCTCCCATCAGGAGACCTTACCCTAGGCATGACAGGAGGCAAGGGCTAGGCTCAGAGCTTTCGGAGCATGAGAAAAGTCTGGAAAGGATACCACAGGGGACCTGACAGACAGCAGGAGATGAGAAGGAAAATTCTTGAGCAGCAGAAGGGCCTCAGTTAGGGCTGTTGGGGAGAATTTGCAAGGAAACAAGTTGCCTTTATTAACATTCCCCAGTGGGTCTGGATAGCTCTGGTGCATGAGAGAAAGTGGACTGGCCTTCCCCTCAGGGATGGACATGGGCACAGTGAACATCGTGAAGAACAAGAACAAGGAAATCAACATCATGCACATTGCTGAAATAGCTAGTCGTGGAGTTCTGGCAATGCGGGAGGGCTAGAGAGCCCAGGATTTGGCTGAGGGACTGGGACAACAGAGAGGCAAAAGACAAAGGTGTCCTGTTAGGGTAGCGAGGAAAGGAGGCTGTATAAGGGCAAGAGAGCAGAAGGGGAAGGTGAATAAGGCTCATTCTTCCATGCCTTCCAGACTGTCATCTCCTTTAGGGGAGAAACTGATTCTCATTTCTTTTTAATTTATTTTAGCACATGTTAAATAATGCTTTTAAATCATGAATGAACTAATTAACTGAAACAGTTATCTTGCTGGCTTATCTCCCACTGAGCTACAGGTTTCTGGAGGGTGTCCTGCGGACTGAGGTACCGAAAATGCCCAAGAAATCTCAGGAGACTTCATAGGTGTGCAATAGTTAATTAATGGGAAAAAATGAACAGCATCTTTTTGAGCTCTGATTTCCTCGTATAAAAATGAAAACCACAAGACAGACTCCTATTCCCAAGAAGAAAGGAGGCATCCATTATAATACTAGACAACTTTGCTCTTAAAATTTGCCAGACCAACCCTTGAGCATTTTCATTTAAATTCCTCAGCGGGCAGTTGATTCCCCATGGCTCATACTGTCTTCCAGCATGGAGGGGAGTGAGTCAAGCAAATGGAATCATAAATACACACACGTGCAGGCATGCACACACACACGTGCACATACACATGCACACAAACACGCGCACACACGCACACATGCACACACACTTTGCCTGTAGATTTTTCAACCTCTGAGTCTTCTCAAATTCTCCTCACTTTTCCTTCCCCCACCCTCAGCCTCCACTCCATACAACAGCTGCTCCTTGGACCAGACCTCCATGACAAATTCAAAACAGTTGCCTGGGGTTTGGCCACTGCTTCACAGGTAGTTATAAAGCATTTTGTGGTGCAAACCAAGATTCCAGCTAACTGAGATAGCATGAAGGAGCTAATTAAAGCAGCCAAGAAGCTTGCTGAAATGAAGATGAAAATGTAAGCCCCGGGTTCATTGGATAGAGTGATGAGAAAGTAAAGTTGTTTGCCTTTGGCCAGTCATCTGTGGTTTGTCAAAATGTTGACATGCAGCGTAACCTGCTACCTACCAGAAAGAAAGGAAAACAAACCAAAAAAGAAGAAGATGAAGAAAATCTAACATTGTAAGTAGGAAAACAGACATAGAAAACCGGCATCTTTGCAAATGGGAAAAATATTTAACTTCTGTGTCTAAAATAAGTCTGATCTGGTTTTGGACAAAGTCTCAGTTCCTTAGTTTGCCTTGAAAGACATGTTCTTTTTCTGTTCTGAAAAACTCAGCAGTGGGAGGTCCAGGAATCTCAAAATGGGAAATGAAGCCACAGGATGTAGATGAAAGAATAGAGTTCAGGATAATCAAGTTGTTCATCTCAAGTATTTTACGTAAAAGGAGCCCAAGCTTAGCACTTTCAGTATCTCTAGAGTGTCACTGGCTTATGCAGACAATTTGATGGCATTAATAGTCAAATCATACTATAAAATTGTCAGTTATTCTTTTCTTATTTGTACATTTAAATTTATGCTAATTAAATGCCTAATGAAAAGAATAATTCCTTATTTGATATGGTATAATGAGAAATGCATAGAAGGACATTTTAATAAAATAGGTACTATCCAGACTTCTCTACTTCCATCAATTTATAATAAATATTCTGTACTGTAAAATAAACACTTGAGAGTAGAATAATTCTAGCTCAGATCTGGAACCGTGTGAATACACGGCATGTACTCAAGAACGGTTTTGTAAGGAGAGAGAGAAAGGAAGCATAAAAGCATACCCTGATGAATATTGTTAATTGCCCTTAACAAGTACAGTGTATGTGTGATTATTAATATCGATGTTCTTGTTACTGACTTATTCATAAGACCTGGTTCATAAGACCTGGTACTGAGCTGAGTGTATACTGCTTTGTTTGTTTAAGTGTGGCGTCTTTGTATGAGCAGAATATTCTTTAGCAAGATTTGAACCAGCTCAAACATGTAAAAATAAGTGACATGGATCTGAATTTCAGAGATTCTTGCAGAGTATTAAAACGAAACAAAACAGCAACAAAAGAGATGCCACAAGAGTGCAACATACAACATGAGCTGAGTCTGACAGGTGTGACCAAGGGCAGCCCTTTCTTTGCCTTGATGATGGAGCAGGAAGAAGTAAGAGCAGAAACATCAGGCACCACAGGATCATTTGGGGAACATCCATTATTCAAACCATCTCCCTCTCTCTTTCCTCTCAACCCTCTATGTCCCCAAGTCATTTACTAGGCACAAGCAAGGAGTGGAAAACGAGGAAGGGTAGGAAAAAAGCAAAGATCTCAGCGGATCATCATACGAAGTTGCCACTAACGATCACAGCAAACACTTACATTGTGCTTACTCTATTTGTGCCACACACCCTTGGAGTGCTTTACATGTACCAATTCACTTCATTCTCACAACAATCCTATGACTGCTCCCATTTCATGGATGAGGAGGCTGTGGCACAGAAAGGCCAGAAATGTTTAAAGAGCAGAGTCATAATTCAAACCCAGGGGCCTTGTCTCAGAACCACTTGTCTGCTACTCAGAAGCACAGAATGAAGAAGACAAAGGGTTTGGACTTTCAAATTCCCTTGCACATGCACATATCTAGGCTTCTATGCCACATTGTAAGTAGGAAACTCTTTGAGCACCTGGCCCCTAGCATGGTGTCTATTTCAGTGTACAAGTTCAATAAATACCTAGTGTTTTGTGTCAATTAGTGGTGAAACCCTTTGCAACATACAAAGTCCATAACACCATAAAATCCCAATTCATTTGGCTTGGAAATAGCCTAATTTTCCCTCAGTGGAGCCTAGAAGGGAGCTTATGCCACTTAGAAAAATACATTTTGACAAATTTCATTGCAATACTAATTTAAAGATCATCTATCTTTCTAAAAATAGCAAAGAGGCCAGATTAGAACAAGCTTTCTTACCTTTCCCTAAACTACAAAGCGTCCTCAGCGAATCAGAAAGTATGACAGAGAAAAAAACAAGAGGCACAGAGAGGAAATGAACCAAGACAACATGACTTCACAGCAACCGGAAGGAGAGACACACGCATATATACACCACTCACATTCGATGTGTGTGGTTGCTCAGGAGGGAAATGCTTACGGCTGCCTTTAGAAGCGAGTCCGCCAGCTGCATGGAGAGGAAAGCATGAGCATGCAGCAGGACTAGCTGTCACCTGCCCTCTGCCTGCCCAGAGAGAGGGCCAGAGCGTCAGGGAGGAAAGATGATCCACCAATGGTGCCATCCTGCCGTTGGGTGAGTTCTCAGCCACTTGCTGTGGCCTGTGGGGGAGAACGGACTCACTCAGGCTCCTACTTCCTGAGTTGGTGTCAGACATCTGGTGGAGTTTCCCCACTGTAAACACCCCTCAACTGGGGCAGGGAGGATCTCAACAGGCCCCAAAAGAGGAATGAGTGACTCCAGGTCTCCAAGTTGACCTGGAGGCGCTGGTTTTAGTGCAATGTTAAAACTCACATGATTTCTACTTTTGAAATTGCTCTGGGTAGATGCTTCCTGGTGTGTAAGTACACAGCCCCTCCCTCTTCCTACTGTCATCAGAGAGCTTACCTGACAGCAACTAAGCTTTTACTTTTCCTGAGTTATTTGAATACTTCGAAGTGTGGACCGTCACTTATTCTTCCTAGTGGATTAGAATCATTTATGTCCTTTTCATCCTCTTTGGGCGTGTGTCCTGGGTGGTGAAAAATGGTGACTGGGAATTGGATTATGTGTGTGTCCTAGCCCTGTAGTCATTAGCGTCATCTCCAAGGGACTGGGGACAAGTGACAGCACATTGTGTTCTCCCTGTCCATAGTGGGCCGGCCACAGCTCCGTCCTTACTTTTCTCTATGGCTATTCTTTCACTTAACCCATTCATTCATACATTCATTCAATTACCTTTCTTCCACAGAGGACTTGAGGCAACCTTTTTATCTTGCTGAAATTATTTCAAAATAAAGACCATCTACAATCATAAAGGGGAGGGCTGTTCTGAAAGGGTTATATGTAGTTCAAAGCTATGCAGAGATCAGCCACTAATCTTTTCTCTGTGCTTGTGTTAGTGAGAGTAGGCTCTCTAGTCATTTAAACTCCTGCTCGGGGAGTCCCTTCTTCCCCTGCCCAGAAGCTGGTTTCCCACCCAGAACTGGGGTGTGAAGAGCAATTGTCCATGACAGAATCCTGGGAATCACCCAAATAGTTTTCTCCCTTGTTTCTGTTTTCTTCCAAGCTTGGTTGCTTTCAAGGACATTCCTGTTCTAAGAATGGGGAAAGTGGAGTTGGTGGAAAAGAAAAGATATGAAATCGGTGTTTAACTAGCGCTCCACCATTTCTTGTTAATCGGTAAATTTATTTAACAGTTAGTTAGTGGCTGTCACTTTGTAAGTCAATACTTAAACAAGATAGCTGGGCATGGTGGCACATGCCTGTAGTCCCTGCTCTGCAGGAGGCTAAGGTGGGAGAATTGCTTGAGCCTGGGAGGTCGAGGCTGCAGTGAGCTATGATTGCACCTCTGCATTTCAGCTTGGGTGAGAGAGTGAGACACTGCCTCAAAAAAAAAAAAAAAGAAAAGAAAAAGAAAAGAAAAGAAGAAGATAGAGAAGACTAGAAAGATTCAAGCAGAGGTGTAGGAGAGGACAGATGGTATGGGTTGAATGATGCAATTCCCAGTGCCTCTTCCTCTGCATGTAAATAAGGGGAAAGAGCTATCTTGAATGGCTGTGGTAAGGATTCGATCAGATAGCAAGTGCTGAAGCATCTGGCAGACATGGGTGTCGGCAGTCGGCAGTGTCCTGCCTCCCTCCTTCAGGCCTCACTGTGACGGGGCTGGCTGCTGACAACCTGAGTCTGTATCTCACGAGCTGAGGGTTTTCTCCAGGCCACATAGAGCCAACTATAATTGCCCAAACGACAGATGAAAATGCCCAGAAATGAACTCCTCATGGGCTATACATATGCCAGCTCCCTCAGTCCTGAGTGGAAGAATCTACATGGGCTCAAGCTCCAGTGGCCCACGGTGGCGGGCCCCTTTATGGCTTCTCTCCTTCCCAGGGCACTCCTTCACTCCCCATCCATTCTTCCTGGGATCATTTCTTAAACTACATGTCCTGGAACTCTGCATCCACGTCTGCTTCTGGGGAAACCCAAGCTAAGCCCGCCAGCCACCCCATGCTCTAGGTACTTAAAGAGCTTAGTACTCTGTTCTCCAATGATCAGCTCTCTCTCCATTTGGCCTCAGACTCTGCATTTTGATTTCCCACATATCCATTCAAGGGTTGTGGTCGGGGAGGGTCCTCCTCCTCTTCTTCTGGATTCAGCTTGGAGGGCACAGGCACAGCTCAGGGAGAGCACCTTAGACATGTCTCCATGCAAACCTGCACAGCACGAAGATGCGTCCTACTGCAAATGACCTTCACTTCTTCCTGCTTATCCGTCACCATCATGACTCATTCAGTCAAGATTTCTGAAGTGTGAAACACAAATAGGAGAATTTTATATGTATAAGATGCAAAGACAGAGCATTAAATCACATTGAGCCTGATCTTAAAACCTCTAATTCTTGGCTCCTCGTCTTTTTAACGAAGAGAAAGTTGTCCTGAGGCTAGGAGCAATCAGCAGGCAATGGGAGCTAGCTATAAATTAATAGCATGGTTTAATTTTCCTGTTTTTACTTTTTATGATTACCTTATATTAAATCACAATGGCCCTGTTTTTTTTTATTTGTAAGAGTAGTATAAACATTTCTTTTAAAATATAAATGTCTTTGAGTTTTTTAAAAGTGAGTTAATTTATATATATGTATATATATATATATATATATATATTTTTTTTTTTTTTTTTTTTTTTTTTTGAGACGGAGTCTCACTCTGTCACCCAAGCTAGAGTACAGTGCGACCTCACTGCAACTTCTGCCTCCTGGGTTCAAACGATCCTCCTGCCTCAGCCTCCCAAGTAGCTGAGACTACAGTTGTGCACCACTGCACCTGGCTAATTTTTGTGTTTTTAGTAGAGGTGGGGTTTCGTCATATTGGCCAAGCTGGTCTCGAACTCTTGAACTCAGGTGATCTTCCCACCTTAGCTTCCCAATTATAGGCATCAGCCACCGTGCCCTGCTCAAAAGTGAGTTAATTTAAAGAAAAACTTGTTGCTGATAGTCCTGACAGCACACAGAATATGGCAAAACCCTGGAAAATGGGGTTTGACTAAAAGAAGACTAGGAAAGTCCCACCAGAGCACTGGCTCCTCAAGGGCACAGCTGCATCTCCCAGTGCCTTCCATCCAGGGCCTGCCCAGTGTGTGCCACCAGGCCAGAATTGTGTGGATGTCCCAGGAAGCAGGGGTCCAAGCTGCCCTTCTTAGCCACAGCCTTTTTTGGTCTTCAACATACACAACTTCACTTTGCCCACAATAGCTCCCAAATGTCCCAGCAGTGATGCAGGTTAGTATAGACTACTAAAAATGGGTACAACCCAAGTTCCACTGTATGGTAGTTCCACCCTAAGTAAGAATCCATGGGGCACCAACGTAACTCAGCAGTGGGAGCCAAGGGGTCGGGCAGAAGTATCTGTTCATCCACATTCCTTTTCACTTTTGCATCAGAGTCGAAGCTCTGGTTCATGAAGGTCTATAATTCACTTAGGAGGTCAAAGAATGAGAATTTTTTTTAAACAGCTGCAAAACCCTCCGCTTTCCAAGGAAAGAGATAAATGAGGGTGAATAATTTAGATAAATTTAGCTTGAGAAATTTTTAAAATATTGTGAAACATTTTATACTACCAGAAAGTATATATGAGGTATCTGTATTTTTTTTTCTTGAGACAGTCTCGCTCTGTTGCCCAGGCTGGAGTGCAATGGCGAGATCTTGACTCACTGCAGGCTCTGCCTCCCAGGTTCAAGTGATTCTCCTGCCTCAGCCTCCCAAGTAGCTGGGACTACAGATGCATGCCCCCATCCCCAGTTAATTTTTGTATTTTTAGTAGAGACAGGGTTTCACTGTGTTGGCCAGGATGGTCTCGATCTCCTGGCCTCAAGATCCACCTGCCTCGGCTTTCCAAAGTGCTGTGATTACAGGCACGAGCCACCGCACCTATTCTGTATATTCTAAATAATGATAGGAATACAAACATAAATACATATCTACATGCCGCCTCACTTCCCAACCCTGAACGCCTGCTGTGCGCCCCTAACCAGTTGTATCCATATCCCCCAATGCCCACTGGGTTAGTCTATGTTTGTGTGGCTATAAATATCTGAGGCTAGGTAATTTGCAAAGAAAAAAGATTTAATTGGCTCATGGTTCTGCAGGCTGTATAGGAAGCATGGTGCTGGCATCTGCTTCTGGTGAGGCCTCTGGAAGCTTACAGAAAGCTTATGGCGAAAGATGAAGAGGGAGCCAGCATCACACAGCAAGAGTGGGAGCAAGAAAGAAAGGTGGGAGGTGCCACACTATTCTAAACAACCAGGTCTCTTTTTTCTTTTTTTTCTTTTTTCTTTTTTTGAGATGGTGTCTCACTCTGCCATTCAGGCTGCAGTGCATTGGTGCAATCTTGGCTCTCTGCAACCTCCACCTCCAGGGTTCAAGCGATTCTCCTGCCTCAGCCTCCTGAGTAGCTGGGATTACAGGCATGCACCACCACACACAACTAATTTTTGTGTTTTTAGTAGCTCTGGAGTTTTGCCATATTGGCCAGGCTGGTCTTGAAATTTTGACCTCAGGTGATGCACCCACCTCAGCCCCTCAAAGCGCTGGGATTACAGGCGTGAGCCACCGCACCTGGCCTAAACAACCAGATCCCATGTGAACTAACTGAAGGAGAAGTCACTCATCACCAAGGGGATGGCGTTAGTCCATTCCTAAGGCACCCACTCCCATGCTCCAATACCTCCCATAGATCCCACCTCCAACATTGGGGATCACATTTCAACATGAGATTTGGAGGGGACAAACATTCAAACTATGTCATTCTTCCCCTGGCTTCCCAAGTCTCATATCCTTCTCACATTACAAAATACAATCACCTTCTCCCAATAGTCTCCAAAAGTCTAAAATGATTCTAGCATCAAGTCAAAGTCCTGTCTCATCTAAGACTCAAACCCCTCTACCTTTGAGACTCTAAAATCAAAACAAGTTAGTTACTTCCAAGATACAATGGTGGTACAGATATTGGGCAAACATTATCATTCCAAACGGGAGAAATTGGCCAAAAGAAATATTGTAGAGGCTCCGCACAAGTCCGAAACCCGGTAGGGTAGTCATT